GTCATAGTATAGTAAGGCATAAAAACATCAAAAAACGTCATAGTATAGTAAGGCATAAAAACATCAAAAAACGTCATAGTATATTATGGTAAAAAAACGTCAAAAAACGTCATAGTATATTATGGTAAAAAAACGTCAAAAAATGTCATAGTTTAGTAAGGCATAAAATGTCATAGTATAGTGAGGCATAAAAACGTCAAAAAACGTCATAGTATAGTAAGGCATAAAAACATCAAAAAACGTCATAGTATATTATAGTAAAAAAACGTAAAAAAATGTCATAGTTTGGTAGGGCATAAAACGTCATACTATAGTAAGGCATAAAAACGTCAAAAAATGTCATGGTATAGTCAGGCATAAAAACGTCAAAAAACGTCATAGTATAGTAAGGCATAAAAACATCAAAAAACGTCATAGTATATTATGGTAAAAAAACGTCATAGTATATTATGGTAAAAAAACGTCAAAAAATGTCATAGTTTAGTAAGGCATAAAATGTCATAGTATAGTAAGGCATAAAAAGTTATAGTATAGTAAGGCATAAAAACGTCAAAAAACGTCATAGTATAGTAAGGCATAAAAATGTCAGAAAACATCATAGTATAGTAAGTCATAAAAAGTCATAGTATAGTAAGGCATAAAAACATCAACAAATGTCATAGTATAGTCAGGCATAAAAAAATCAAAAAACGTCATAGTATATTATGGTAAAAAAACGTCAAAAATGTCATAGTTTAGTAAGGCATAAAACGTCATAGTATAGCAATCATTAAAAATTTGAAATAACTTCATAGTGTAGTAAGGCATCAAAAGTTATAGATTAGTATGGCATAAAAATATCAAAAAACGTCAATAGTATAGTAAGGCATAAAATGGGATAGTATAGTAATGAATAAAAGTGTGAAATAACTTCATAGTATAGTAAGGCATGAAACATCATAGTATAGTAAGGAATAAAATGTCATAGTATTGTAATGAATAAAAATGTGAAATAAAGTCATAGCATAATAAGGCAGAAAACGTCATAGTATTGTAAGGCATAAAAACATCAAAAAACTTATAGTATATTATTGTAAAAAAACATGAAAAAATGTCATAGTTTAGTATGGCATAAAACGTCATAGTATAGTAAGGCATAAAAACATCAAAAAATGTCATAGTATATTATGGTAAAAAAAACGTCAAAAAATGTCATAGTTTAGTATGGCATAAAATGTCAAAAAACCTCATAGTACAGTGAGGTATTAAAATGTCATATAACTTCATAGTATAGTAAGGCATAAAAGCGTCAAAAAGCATTATTTTATGATTAGGCATTAAATGTTATAATATAGTAAGGTATAGAACGTCACAAAACGTCATAGTACAGTAAGGCATGAAAGGTTACAGTGTATTAAGGCATAAAAATGTCAAACAACGTCATATTACAGTAAGGCATAAAAATGCCAAAAAAAAAGCTGCTTATATGGCTGCACTTTCAAATTTGCTGCATTGGCTTTATGTCTATTTCAGCCTTATATTGTAGTCACATTATCTTGTGTGTGAATCTCATAGCGGGAATTTATTGATGTTCAGCCTGCTTTGATGAATAAGTGGTTTCTTGTTCCTTATCTGGCATCATTGTGCTTTATAGTTCCACCTTGTGGCAATGCTAAGCATGACAGTTAAGTTGATTAAGCAAGATGTTATTCTATGTAATAGTTTGTAATATATTATTCTTCTGTCATTAATTTCTCCTCTTTCCAGAAACCACACAAATATATGTAAACCTGCTTATTCCTATACACCCTGTTGTTTTATTTAGTAAAGTTCACTTATCTGAACTTTTTGGCTACTTGTGATTAAGTCAGTCACTTCAGTGGTTGGCTGTGATTTCCCCAGGTATGAGAGAGAGAGAGAAAGGTCACTGTCAGTCATTCTCTTTATTAGAAACACTGTTGTGAAAGACTTCTATTTCCACCTAAGAAACATCACCAAAATCAAACCATACCTCTCCTTTAATGATCTGAAGGTTGTCATAAATGCCTTAATTTCCTCTCGGCTGGATTATTGCAGTGCTATCTGTTTGTGCATTAGCTTCCTTGTCTACAGCTGTTGCAGAATGCTGCTGCTAGACTGTTTTCTGGTACCAGGAAGAAAGACATCATCTGCACTTGCATCCGTGCTCTGACTACCAGTCCAGTATCGAATTTAGTTTCGTTTATTATTTTTTTAAAGCTTTACACAGTCTGGCATCCCAGTACATCTCAGAGTTCATTTTCCCCCTTTCCATCCCAGACCTATCAGGTCCTCAGACCACCTCCTCCTGGCTGTCCCTATAGGTCGAGACTAAGGGGAAAGGGTGATTGTGTAATTGCTGTAGCTGCCCCAGAGCTTTGGAACAGTTTAGCTCTTTAATTAAGTATTCCCCCTCCGTGGACACTTTTAAGGCTAAACTGAAAACCTGTATGTTATCTCAGGCTTTTGAGTCTCCTTAAAGTTTTAAAGTCTTAAAGTTTCCTCTGACCTCAGATGCTTCCACACAGGTGCACTGTATGGTACAATTAAGCAGCTAACATCCCATCATGCTCTGTGACATGTATGAAAATTTTGAGCAGGCCCAGTTTTTTTTTCTGATTTTGTATCAAGACAACATGAGAAAAAGATCACTTTCAAAAGTGACTTTGAAAGCAGGTTCATTGTTGGTGCATTTGTGGTTGGAGCTTTAGTCACAAAGATGTTCAACAGGCAGGTGTTTCAATAGGAACAATGACTAAAGGGACATTAACATTTAGATCTATGCGAAAAACTTCAGTAAATAGGGTTCTAGATAAAGACTATGTCAGCAAGAACAGTCCATCAACTGTTCCATATTGTAGTCGGGCTGCAGTGCACAGACCGATCATTAAAAAGATGAATCGACATTTGAGAGTTCAGTGGTGCTAAAACCATGGGCACTGGTGTACAGAGATGTGGAAAAAATGATATGGTCAGATGAGTCATCCTTCCCCATATTCTCCACAAGTGGGCGGCTGCATGTGTGGGTTACACCTAGAGAATGGTATAGGCCTGAATACTTTAACCCTACAGTGAGGGGATCTGGTGGCTCTGTTATGCCTTAGGGGGCATTATGTTGGCCTGGTTTGGGTCCACTTGTCCCCTTAGAAGGAAGGGTCACTGCAAATAAACACGAAGTTTTTCTTAGTGATCATCTTTATCCTACGAGGAAACATTTCTATTCTGATGGGAGTGGTCTCTTCCAGGATGCTCATCCATAGAGCATGACGGTACTGAATGGTTTGATGAGTATGAAAATGATGCGAATCATATGCTATGGCTGTTGCATTCACCAGATCTCAACCCAGCTGAACACTTATGGGGGATTTTGAACCGACATGTTAGTGCTCTGCACCACCATCATCAAAACACCAAATAAGGGAATATCTTTTGTAGAGTCTACTCCTACCAAGACCTTAGCCTACTAAGACACGACTTTAATTTCTCACATTTCTGTAGATTGACACTCTTATTATTGATTGTAAAGAGATCACTTTCTGATGCAATTCTTTTACAAGACGTGGGGGACAAATGTGTAGCTTCATCAGTCTGGGTTAGATAAATTGGGCATATTACAAAATTAGAGCCTTTTAACACAGTTCCTTCTTTAAGCCATCATAGTAACTTTGTTTTTTAACTGGGCATGTCTTTTATTATCTTAAGACCGACTTGTAAACCTACCTTTTAAATCAATGTTTCAAGTACATATTCATTCTTACAATACAAATGGGCATTTGTCAATCATAGCCTAGAAATTTTCTATGAACCAACTTTTATCATTAGCGTTTGTACAAATGCTGCATGAGCTCTGGCATGACAGTGGTGAACTTCATACTCAGTTGCTTTATGTGATTTGCTTTGCAAAATATTTTAACTTCTGTGTGGTGGTGTAGAAAGTCTCAGAAGCCTTCAAATATCCTCTGGTCTGCCTAAGTTGAGTGAACATATTTATCAAATGTCTATTTGTAGTGTCTCAGAAGGCTACACATTATAAAACATATCTGTTGGACACAAATACTCTACAAATATAAACACATTTCAGTTGAAAGAGGGAGGGACGGAAAGGAAAAAGAAGTAACTGCAAAATGAGAAAATGAAATGGCCATAGCTGTGTCTGTTCTGTGCACAGTTCATCCTTGTACTCTAATATTACTAGCATTTAGATACTCTCCAAAAATGAATATTATAGCATGTGTGTAGTTTGACGCAGATATGGATCCAAACAGATAAATGGAAATAGACACATTTTCTGTTTCTTTTACAGCCGCAACCCACGTTTAGGTCCACAGAATTCATTACACTCAAAAAGAGAGATTTTAGGCAGGGTGTCACTTTCAACAGTCAGTAATGTGATGAGTAAAAAGTGATTATTGGAACAAGACGCAACCACAAGTCTGTTGATTGCAGACACAGATCACAGACTGGGTAATAGCAGTCCAGATTGAGTTACATGAATTATGTTGCTGTGTTAAACAGTGAACAAATCTGCGGTTTTAATCGAAAAAACTTTTCTTGTGAATCTGCATCTTGGAGTAGAAGACTCAAACAGAAACAAACAAATACTAACACATACTAACAAATTAACAGTTGATTTGTTTTGCTCATTTGCTTTCTGAAATGTTGTGTACTGTGCTAAAAGTTGCACTAACATGTTCATTGGAAACAAAACAGTACATAAAAACGTGTCATGTACATTTTGACAAATCAAAACTGTTTAAAACAGGAGTCCATTATTGTTTCCATTGATCACTAACCACTGAGAGTCTCTGAGTAATTTGTGGTTTAGCCAGAAATGACTGAAATACAAAGGTTTGTTCACGTTTAAAGGATTATTTACCTCTCACTGTGAGAAGCTTTGAGACAAAAATTACTATAAATGAGTTCAGATGTTTTCACGCTGGATTAAAGGAAGCAGAAAGTCTTTCACAAATGAACAGCCTGCATACATGCAAGACCCTCATGAGAATCACACAGGAAGGAAACATACGTCAAATCTGTAACTGTTTTATCCCCCCATCTGTGCCCAGCCTGTGTGTTTGTGGTGAACAGAAAAGATGCAGCGCAACAAGGGTGTTAAACTGCAAAAAAAAAAAGCTGTGCAGCCTTGAAAATGCACTGCACTGTGATCTGTACGCTAAATTTTAAACTGTCATTTAACCAGGAAATGTAACTATTTTCCACATTTTAGCTGCTGTAGAGATTATAGCTGGCAGGTTAGAAAATAAAAAAAAAAACACCACTCCATAGTAGGCTGCTGCTGTACCTCAGTGGAATATATGGAAATCAAGTTCATGATGTATTTATCTAAATACTTTCCAGTTTTCATGAACAAAACCCATGTGGGTGTTCCTTACATGAATATCACCTACTCAAACATGACACCCACTGGATTTCAACCAGAAAGACTTTGTTTATTAACTTAACACTTCCTTGTTTCACCAAATGGAAATTAAGTATCTCTTTATTTACTTCAAAGCAATGATCATAAAATAATTTTTATGTTTCATAACCACACATTTAGACATCATAAATGTCAGATACACACCAAAATAAATATTTTTGAAAAATGCTACAACTAAATCAGCATCTTAGTGTTAACTGACTATCTCAACATTTACATAAGGCACAATATTTGTTTATAAATAGGTGTGGAAATCGCTTCAATTAACCACAAATTAAAAAGCTGGCAATAAAAACAACGTGCAATATCTGACCTTGGTTTTAACATCATATTCCGTGCAGTTATTATATGTCAGCGGAATAACATTCAACATAGGAATCATTTGGGTAAAGTGATGAGTAAGACTCACTCCTGTCTGAGACATTGTGAGCAGTTTACATTCTTTCATTTGAGTAAATCTCTAAAAAAAAAAAAGCCCATCTCCCCAAAATCTTCAGACCTTGTAGAGGCCAAAGAAGTTGCCATAATGTGCATGACTAAGAAGAGAGGGGTGCGATAAATTCACAAAAACTTTGTCGTATTTCTGCAGCTTTAGGGCAGAGCTGAGGTAACTCTCTGTGGTCCAAGAGTTTTCCAGGTGCTTGGAGCAGAAACCTGCTCTGTGGGCCTCCATCAGGGTCAGAGGTGACAAATGTCTCACTCTCCTCACAAACACAGAGTGAACGAACGAGGATGTGGGGGAACAGCTCCTAAAGATCAGCTCCACTCGTGAGTAAATGTGGTAGAGCCCGCTCTCGTTGACCTGCAGACCACCATCTTCGATCTGGTAAGTCACTCCTCCAGATACGAACGCCCGACCTACCCTCGGCTCCCATCGCAAAGTCTTCCGGAATTCCTCTTTTTCAATCCGCCCTGCAGGAAGAGAGACATGATGTTATATGTGCAGATTAAAAACAATCAGAGTATATCTTAACTGTGAATAAAAAATGTTACCCATCATATGCGCTGCAGGTCTGTTGTCTGTGTCTTGTCCATTCACCTCAGGTTCAGGGAAACCTGAAACAACCCTCAGATTAGAATCACATCATCTCTTCCTTTCATTTTTGTTTTAGGAACATTTTCACTTTGTGGGGGATTATTTATGTGTGGTGAGATATGTTTACACTTACCAATTTGCTTCTGTGCTGTATTAAACTCTGTCTCAGGCTTATCCTTCAGTGAAATGAAAGAAACAGAGAAAACTCAATACCACATCACACAAATGCTTTTTCAGCGCTGTCTTCTTAAAGTTCTTTCACAGTGTGACTTAGAGAGGATATCCTGTCTCACTGGTCCACACTGACCACAGATGGAACGATTAAGTCCTTGGTTTGCATTTTTAAATGTCAGAGCAGAGTTGAGGTGTTTTGACTCTTCAAATGGTGGCAAAGACAAATGTGAATTAATTATTAAACCTTACAGCTCTCAGTTAACTTTCCAGCCAAGTTTTCCACGTTCCCACCTTACACCTATCACCCCCTCTCTGTGCAAAAACTGAGAGAAGTCACACCTCTTAATATTGAGCAGTTTACCCCCATTATAACTGCACAACAAGAAATATTACACACAAAGGAACACTATTAATATTTACATTATTTGTCACTGACCAGCAATTTCTTCACTACTTCTTGATATTCTACACACTGCTGTAGGCACCATTACTTTTTCCATTCAGTAAAAACTCAGGTTTTCAAACTACATAAATGGTTTTTCAATATTTGCTTCCATATCCATCACAACCTGTGGTTCCTTACCTGTCTCATCTGTTTCAGTTCTATCTGCATAGTGTGGATCTGGTAGGCTTCAAACCCCAGGGCTGCAAACACAAGCAGGAACAGCATCAGCACGACCAAGGCCAGGCTGGGGCTGACTCCCATGAAGCCCCGACTCTTCTCACGGCCCCTTGCCCTCTCCTGGGCTGGCGGGAATGACCAGCAGGGCACAAGACTTGGAGGCTGGTCAGAGTTCTGACGACTTCCACCTCCATCCACGAGGAACACCTGTGGGAATGGATAGCTCTGGTCACAGCTCATGTTGCAGGTCCTACTGTGAGACAAACTGTGTGTGCATGTATCACTTCTGCATGAAGGAGGTGTGTACTATCGTCTAAGCACCTCAGTCTTAAAAGGCCAAGGCATTCACCACCCACAAAAACCTCCCACATGCACATACTAAAGAAACACAGTGCACATCACTTTTCATAAACTCCAATAAACTATCATCTCTCTATCACATCTTCTCCTCTCCTCTCCTGCTTTGCTGAATGGTATTTATGTATCAATACTGAAATTTATTAGGCTTTATCTCACAGTAAGTCACTTTGGATAAAAGTGTCTGCCAAATAAATAAATGTAAATGTACAAGTTCAACTATCTTTGTACTGTGCAGTGCACATATAGACAACTGTAGACAAGGCTGAAGGGAATGGAAGATACAGGTTTTGTGTGACCCCCTACTCACTAAACACCACCAACTCATCAGAAACCTGTCCATAAGTTTGACGCAATATTCAGCAACCACAAACACAGTCATCTGGCCTGCGTTTTATAACAGGTCTTGTGAACCAGTTAACATGCTTTTTAACATTCCTGGGGACTTTTTTGTGAGGTCTGTGCTGATTTTTCAGAGTTATTCAGAAAATGCTCCTTCAAATCTGAACCATGTACTAAATCTGACTTTTCTTTAGGAGTAGGCTAAATCAAAAATGCTTTATAATTAAAACGTATTACTCTTGCAGATCAGTCTTTATGGGGTACAGTATGTTGGTAAACAGTGATACAGCAGTTTCAGTAGCACATAGTGTAGTCTTGGTGGGAAGATGCGGCTGCCACATGAAAAGGACTTATGTTTCTGCACTGGCTTCTGTGCCGGCTGCTTATGAAAAGCTGGTAGCAAAAGAGACAGCAATAAATTAGAGAGGTGAGAATTAACCCCAACCAATACCTCAGAGATGAGCTTACAGGAAAGCTGAACACTCACTCCTCCCCTCTCAGTCTGGAGTTAATACAACTGTGGTCTCTCTGACACTTCTAGGTTTGTTTCCTAGGATATGAGGCAGTTACACAGCTTTTTCATTGTGGTTGTTGCAGTTTCCATAAGAGATTGCTTTATATCTGCTGCTTAACCAAGAAAATTTGTTTCCAGATATTTATTAGCTCTTTGGCGATTCGCACTTTGGCTTGCGGTGGTTTTTGATAAAGGGCACCGTTCCACCCCACAGATAGGAACTAATTACAAGAAATTACAAGAAACCAGCCTTGCAGTAGAGGGGGGCTGCAGCAGTGCGCTCTCACGCAGACCAACACTAAAACTTTGGGTTCTATCATTATGATTCACATCAACGGTTAAGCTAAGCCAGTATTGCATATTATGAAAAACATTTTTAGTAACTGCAAAGGAAGACCTCAGGCCTAAGCTCTGACCACTGCTGCAAAAGTTTTGTTTCGTTTTTCCTGGTCCCTGCAGAGAGAAAGGGAAACCCACCTTTCAACGTGTATATGACACTAACTAAAAGGGTAACTACGTCTAACTTAACCATAAACTGCACAGGGCCTGTTTTCTAGAAGCTGATGTGTCTGTTTCCAAGAAGTGTCATGCTGAAAGCGGTCCTCGCAGTAGCAGCAGCAGCAGCAGCAAGCAACAGCAGCAGCAGCACACAGTGGGTTAGGTGGGAGGGTGGGGTTTGGGGTCTAACCAGGCCGTGTTCTGTGTTTCTGCTCCACTTAATACAACCAGACAATGATGAATCATTGAATCAGCAAGTATCTTTACCAATTACTCTGTGCTTCTCACGGTTGCCATCCTTTCTGCTGCATAACAGAGCTAGTTGCGGTGATGATGAATCAGGTAATGCCTGAAAATGACAATGAAGTTCTCAGCCCGAAATGAATGACATCACGCAAGTTAACTTTTCCTCTCACACAGCAGGTCTTGTGAGTTGGGCTTTAATTGGAAACTGAAACATATCTTTTGTCATTTCATTAATTCATTTGACCCTTTTTCTGTTGAACTGTGTCATATTCTCACATGGGGGTGCATTCTCACATTCTCATATCCTGTAATTGTGATTCACACTCCTCATGTATGAAGAAGAGAGTTAAATTTTACCCCAAAAAAAACACAGCATGGCATCAAATGTAGGCCTATCTTTCAAAACAAATTTCAGGATTTAGTTAGAACTAAAAGTGAGAGGAAAAGTATTATAAAAAGTATTTTCTACTATGTCATTTTCAAAAATGTAGGTACAATTATCATATTAATATTTTGTTAATGAGACCCACCACTTAGGAAGCCTCTGAATGAACACAGGACATGAGAGGTTTCATTATGCAATTCACTGTAAATTAAAATGTTGAAAATTGTGGACCAGTTCATTTTATGATTTAAAAACATCATGTGTCACAGTCGTCATCGGAGGAAGAGTAACAGTCTAGTCCCAGGACATGACCAGACGTCTCCTCTGTTGTGCTAATGTTCGATGCTTTCTCAGGTATCTTCTCTGCTGCTTCACAGTCTGACTTAAGTGCTTGGACTCCACCTTTCTGTCCATTAACCAAACTCATCACTGTCCCGTCATCGTTCTCTGTGCCTCTACTCCTGCTCTGCGATGTAAATATTTGTCCTGATGCAGAATTATTGAGGTTTGGCAGGCCAGACTGCAGCACCCTGGCTAGGCTCTGTGTTTGAAAGGAGCCGAGCTGAGCTGACAGTCCTCTGAACGCAGCAGTGGCCACTGCTAGCCGTGTCCGGTCAAAGGAGAGGGGCTGGTCCTGGTCTGCACAGACTGCCTCTGAGGTTTCTGACACCAGGTTGATGGGGACAGGGGTCTGAAATCTGGTCTCCGAATAGCTGAGAGCTCCCTGCCTCTCAGTGGCTGAGGTTTTGTGACATCCTGTCCAACTGCTGTCCAAGTCACTGTCAGCTCCACTGATCTGACTGCTGTCCTCCTGTGACTCACTGCGTCGAGGGGTTTTGACTGCGAACAAGAGTGACAACACATAGAGAAATGAAAGGTAAGGTGTCGGTGTCTTAAAGGAGTAGTTCACCCAAAATGAAAAATTTCAAAGCAGATTAGACAAGTACTAGCAATAGAAAGTTCTTGGTTACACTTATGTTTGGCAGAGAGGGTTTCTTCTACTCCACATTCTCAAAATAGTTCTAGCAGTGGGTCAGAACCCAGGAGACCCACAAGTAGACATGGCGTGAATATGTTGCACATAAATATACAAAATATGAATGTTTTATATGCTAAAACCTTCGCTAATTTTTAACAGGACAGGCTCTTGCCCCACAGTTATCTCAAGGAGGAGTCTTGCTGCGTTTGTTTTTTTAACTTCCCCACTGGAATGCGGTGAGTACAACTTGTTGCATATTAAAAATGGTGGCTGGTGTAGAAGCATTATTATTGGATTTTAATAAAAATTTAGGTTCACACACTTAAAACTGTGACACCTAAATATTAAGCAAAAGAAAAGGTGCAAATGTGACATCTTAGCAGCACTCAGCATTTTTATCTGTAACTAGAACGGCACTCAGCAGAGCACATACCTACACCAAGGTGAAATACTGAAGAAAATGTCAAAGGAAAATGTTGAGGAAATAAAATATTACTAGAAATGGCCAGTAAGTGGAGATGGCCCATGCCTCATCCCTCCACCAAGTTTGGTGCAAATCAGTTCCGTACTTTTTGCCTCAGCTAAGGCCAATGCCAAACAACATACACCAGACTTCAGTGGGGAAAAATAAAATCAGATTCATGGTAAATGATACTGATCTGCCTAAAATTGAATGGCTTCTTCCCTGGCTCATGCCCCATTCCTCCACCAAGTTGGGTACTTATCGGTTCAGTATTTTTTGTGTAATCCTGCTGATAAATAAACAGACTTGAGTGAAAACATAACCTCCTCGGTGGAGGTAATTGCCTTCTTTTTTAAATTCATGGTCTACTTAAATAAGTACAGATAGATAGCATGATAGATGTAATTGTGCTGCTGTTTTGACTATATGGAAGGTGCAGAAAACAAGGTAAATACTGGATTTCTAGGACTGGGTGTATGATATGAGTAGTTTGAGCACTGCAACATATTATTTCTCAACAACATTTACAGTAGGCTATGTAAGAGGTGAGTCGCAGCCTTGAACACACTGACCGATGCTCGAAGAGTCTTGAGTCTCTGCTCTCCTTTTGCAGTATGCTCGAGGAGTCCACGGCTTGTGTTTACAGGAAGGGTCAAGTACTCGCAGTTTGGCAATGAAGCTTTTATACTCTCTTTCTAAAGCCTCAATGTGCAGCTGGAACTCCGCTATCTTCCTCTCTGGGTAATGAGAAAGCTGGGATTGCTGGGAGCAAAAAACAAAAACAGGCGAACCAGGAGAATTCAATCTTCAACAATCACTTATGCACTGCATTAGAATCTATTTCACACATTTAAATTGATTCACTTACCTGCAAATAATACTCTATTTCATTCTTAATGGTGGGGATCCACTTTTTCACAGAAGAAGCTGAATTTAGAGTGGACTGTGGAAGAAAAGGTTCGGCTGAAACAAGCTGGTCCAGGTAAACGTGACATGAGGTGAAATGTTAACAACTTGATAACAATTAATTACTTTACCAGCTTGGGTCTCCGCTCGTGCACATCTTTGAGGCGTCCCTCTGTACAGGAAGTATAGAAAGACTTATGAAACAAGTGTAGCTTAGCATTACTGCAGCGGTTCACAGATAGTTAGCCGTCCGCACAGCGGGGTGATTTTATCAGCATTAAATGTCCGTGTTGGCTCTGGCTACAAGCTGCTTACCCTCTCTCTCTCTCTGAAGCCACAGTCTGTTCAGTCTCCCCTGTTGCTTCTCCTCATTTCTCGCCATTTTCACTTTACGCGTGAGTCTGGCGCAGCCAAAACAACGTCACGTGACACATAGTAGCCCTCACGTGACACTTACATACCGCGAGAGCAACCTGCAAGTGATCAAAAATGCACTTGCATGTACACTTAGTTAGGATCACATTTTTTGGAAAAATACTCCGAATATTTTATTCTATTGTGTTTAGTGCATTGCTGTCTGTTCTTTCTATTTTGTATATCCTTTGATAGTAACTTCCATACACTTTTTATGATCACAGTTCTTGTTATACTGTCTGTCCTGACTGGTTGCATGAAAAAAATAAATCTTAGGTCATTTTAATCATCACTTTAATCACTTTTATCATGGCTGGTGGGAGCAGGGACAGTTGCATCATGTTGCATGTTGGTCTATTTTATTATATTGCAACTGTCTCCATACTCAACAGTCATATAAAAACAGATACAACAACAAAAAGTACATTGCATCCTGATGAACCCTATGGATAAATAAATATTGACGCTGTTTTAAAGGTGCAATCATTTCCTCCTTGTGTAAAACGATCAGTCAAAATAGTGCTACGGACTGGTGTGGTTGAAAAACGTACTCTCTGCTGCTCCAATGAACTTCATGAGAACAGTGTGGTCATGTGGTTTCACCATGGTGACACCCTAGCTTCGTGACTTGTTTCTAGGTCATGAGAAGTTATAGGCATATTTTTGTCAGCATCATGGACAGCATGCCACATGTGAGGAAACTTGTGTGTATGTTGTGGCCTATTTTACCAAATTAGTTAAACAAAACTTGAAATGAAATGAAAAATGAAATATGAAGTTATCCAGAATTTTGCTTTGTTTTGAACCTTTTGAGGTCCAGCTCCAGTTTTTTTAATCATTTGAAAGTTTATACCTATTTACAATCAGTAGTATTGTTCTATCTCACAGTGGTCTAACACTAAAACATGGAAAGATTAATTGCCTGCCCAGCAACGTTGTCAAGGGCAGGCCTTGTCTATGTACAAACAAAACAAATGAACTGTGATTTTCATAAATACTGTACATTGTATGTAAAACAGTTCAATGTTGCAACTGTCCCAGGAGACCAGTGCAACTGTCTACAGGCATCAAGCCAGTTGCAACAGATGAATTCTTCCTTTCAAATGTAAATTCTGAGTTTATTATCATAGACATAGTTTATGATGTGGAAAATAAGCTGACAAATATTAGTTTAATATATTAAAATAGTGTTGGTATAGTGTAAATAGTCTGACTAATTGAGCAAAATACATAAAGTATTAGAACTTTCCCCACCTTACCCTAAGGGTTAGGGTTAGGCTTTCTATTATGTGTGGTGGGGAACGCTGCTCTAGTGTAAATTAATATATTGTAGTATTATGTGTAGTGCTAGTGAGTGCAGACCCAGGCCTGACACCTCCACCCAACTCCCTAATCAGGGGCATATTATATAAGGCAGATGTTGGCCTATGATCTTGCATTTTCTGATGCACGTAGACTGATTCATAGAATGCAAAAGTGATGTGATGGTCGTGGTGTAAGGAGTCTCACGTAGTTTTGGTGTCAGTCACGTAGCATTTTGATCTTTTTTTTTCAACAACCATACCGGAAGAAAGACTTCATTAGAAACCTGACGTGCATCACTAGCCGTCATCAGACCATAGTCATCACAACTACCACCTTTGCAGATTGTTATATAGACGATAAGTAAAATGTTTTATGCATCTTTAACCACATTTTTCCAGCTAAAGAGAAGTGGGCACACAGCAACCAAAGTAAAATTCATTTTCGACATTATGCACACATTACAAACCAAACCAAAGTGGTTGGGTGACCGACCAATACACTGAACTCGAAATTAAATGACTGAATCTCATCTTTTTAAGTTATGCAGATTCTTTCTTTTCATTTAAGCTTGATGGCTAATTCACATTAAGAAGACATATTTCTGACTTGAAATCTTTGAATGCGATACTGATCTAAAGACAAAATACTTGTTTCCTCGTTGTACCCTTTCAGGGAGGTCTATTTCAGAACTGGGATTTTATTCAGTTCGGCGTTCAAGAGCACTTCAGTAGTATGGATAGTTTAGACATGGGGAATTATGTGTCATTGCTACATACTTGCTGTTTTAAATGAATTTTGTTTTTGTCTTAATTTTTTTTATCTGTCAGGTAATTTATGCAAAAGGAACATATCTTCACAGGTTATGATTGGTAATATCACTATCATTAAGCTAACTTTTCAGCTCCTGTCATTTTCTCTTAACTTCTCTCCCTCTACTTGGTGAGAAGCATCTTTCTCTTGAGTAAAGTTGCAATGTTCTCATGTTCTGGTGTGTCTCCACTCTCTGCCACCTGCAGTGGTGTCTTCCCCACATTATTTGTAGCCTGCAGATTCACCCTCTTCTTCCGTCCCATGTGCCCAGCTTGGCCCCAGTTTACAAGCGTCTTTACTACCTCCTGGTGTCCACCTCTGGCAGCACAGTGCAGAGGAGTGTCTTTACTGTGATCTGTTGTGTTGATCTTTGCCCCCGCCTCCAGCAGCAGCACAGCCACACTGTCATGGCCCTTCTCAGCTGCAACATGAAGCAGTGTTTTCCTCCATGCATTCCTCTCCTCCCTCCTCTTACTGTTGAGTGACTGTAGAAGAGCTGAAACCACGCTGGCATGCCCACCAGCTGCTGCGTAATGTAGAGGCGTGGAGCCATCCATGTCTTTAGCCCCTCCCTTTGCCTTGTGGGACAACAGTGAAGTCACAGCGTCTAATTTCCCCTCCATAGCAGCCAGGTGGAGAGCAGTTCTTTTCTCATTGTCAGTGGTGCTTGGGTTGGCTTTGGCTGACAGCAGCAAATCCACCACACTGCTCTCTCCCTGGGAAGAGGCTGCCCAGTGCAGAGCTGTCCTCCCCAGCCTGTCCTTGACTCCTGGATCTGCCTTGTCTCGAAGAAGCTGGATCACTGCGTCTGCATGGCCCTGCTGACTGGCTAAATGCAGAGGGGTCAGTCCGTCCTGGGCAACTGCATTTACCTAAAGAAATGACACAACTCTCAGGCTCCACAAACATAGCACAGTAACCATCTGCAAAACTGACACCAATCACCAAATGGTTTGATAATTACCTGTGCTCCAGCTTTTACCAACAGACCGACTAAGTTTGATCTATTACACTGAGCAGCCAGGTGTAGAGGGGTTAGAGCTTTAGGTCCGGTGATATTGGAGTCTAATCCCTTTTCCAGCAATATCTGCACTATGGGCACACTGCCACTGTGAACAGCCAGGTGCAAGGCTGAGGAGAGGTCAGGTAAAGTAGCAACCAGTTTGGCCTGTTTTGCTACCAGCACTCTGAAATGAAAAAGAAGGTCATACATAGAAACACAGAAAACATACGGTGCATAATTAGTAACAAGAAAGACCTGCAGTAATTGACAAATAGAATATTTGATATTATATAGGAAGAAGGAACTCCATATCTGTGTATGTTCTGTGTGTGCTTGCTGTTAAGACATGTTAATATACCATGCTCTGTTGTACATGTCATGGTTTGTTGGCTGCAAAAATCATAAAAATAGAAAAAAAATTAAGTTTGAAGTTTATATACTATTTATACTGCAGATACCACATCCCCCTCCTCCCCACAGATCCGACCTCTGAGGGCACTGAAAATGCAGGGCTGAAAGGGCTGCAGTAACTGAACCAATTTTTAATTTCTCACTTATGTTTATGCCAGAATAATTTAAGCAATGAGATACAGATACAGGCTTTAAATTGCAACATCAAATATATCCTTGTCACGGGACCGTGAAAGGCAGCATATCCTTACACTTATTTGAGGGGCTGGAACTAGGGAATATTTGGCTTTTCTTTCTTGTGGATGGTCATAAACTGCTGATTGATTAACAGAATAACACCCAATTGATTTTCTGTCAGTCGATTAACTGATAAATCAATTGTCTCAGCTCTAGCTACATGTTTTTTCTCTGTAGTCTTTCTGTGGATCATGCACCTCAACCGCCAACGGCCGATGGAAAGAGATTACTTTAGAGGGAGAGGATGAGAGAGAAAAAGGTAAACATTTTTCTTTGTGGTATTTTTCTTTATGTATTAACAAAAAAAATCAAGTGATAAATCACTGATAATACCCCAAACTAATCAGATTCCCTCCAGTTGAATGTGTAAAGTGTCAGTATGTTATAACAACACTAAATCCTTGTTGGAGGACAGTTACCTGAGGACTTCAGTGTGTCCCAGCTCAGCCGACAACAGGACAGGAGTGTATCCCTGTTTGTCACACAGGTTCACATTTGCTCCGCTGTCTATCAGAGCGTTTACCACTCTATCATGGTTCTGTCTAACAGCTGAGAAGAGAGCAGAGCCCAGTGCTTCCTCACTCAGAACCTCTTTGGCATTAGCTGTGGTTTGAACAAAACATAGCTTTATTTAAGTATAATTAACACCTCACAAAAGAAGTCTACTGCATATGGATTTAAGATGTGAAGTAACAGTACTGTAAGTGTTACAGTCTGGTGAAAAAACTCACCAAGCAGCAGGCGGAGAATTGATTCTTGGTTGAGCTTAATGGCTTCATTTATAATGTCATAGTCAACTTTAGCTCCTGAGTTTAGGAGGACACTCGCGGTTTTCTCATTGCTCCTAGCAACTGCATAAAACAGAGCTGTTTTGTTAAAGTTGTTTCTGGCATCAACAGCGGCCCCACTCTGCAGCAGCAACTCAGCCAGCCTCCAGTTGTCTTCTGTGGCTGCCATGTGGAGAAACATGTCCCGTGTGTGGCTCTCAGACTGCTTGGCCTCCTCCTTCACCAGCACTTTCACAGAATCCAGGTGCTCATTTTCTGCTGCCAGGTGAATGGGAGTTTTGTTGTGGAGATCCAAAGTGTAGATAGAGGCACTGGCCTTTAAGAGGGCCCTGACTATGTCTGTGTGACCCCAGCTGGCTGCATTGTGAAGAGCTGTGTGACCATTATTATCCTGCAGCTCCAGTCTGGCTCCTTTACGAATCAAAAGCTCAATGATGGATAGATGCCCGTGCTTAGCAGCTACATGTAAAAGAGTCTCTTTGGAGGAACTGACAATGTTAATATTAGTTTCTTCTTCTAACAGCTCTTCCAGCAGTACCTGCTCTCCATCTGTAGCAACCATGTGAATGCGGTTTTCTGGTTTACATTGTGGCGCCTCATTCTCAGGAGGCACAGTGCTGCTGTCTTCAATCTCAAGGCTAAATCTTTTAGTTTTTTCAATGGGAAATAAACTACTAGTCTTCTTATGAGTCTGGGTGACAATTCCTGCCATCCCCTCCTTTTCCCTCTCCAGCAAATATCCAATCAGCTGTCTCCTTGTGTCTCTAATATGTTCGTTCACATTCCCCAAATAGGTCTTGATTTGCAGGTAAATGTTGGGCTCTGCCAGCATAAGACAGGGATGGAAAAACTTCCGACATGCCCTCTCACCTCTGGCCTCCATGATGTCAAGGACCCTGGAATTCTGATCTTTGCGAGTCCTGATGGTCAAAATGATGGATCTCTTGGCTGCTGTCATGACCCCCTCTGTGACCAGTAGATCCAGTAGATCCTCAGTATGTGAGATCCCATAAACCAGATCCCTTCTCTTTGTCCGGATCACATCCACAGCATACGGGTTGATATAGTTTGATGCTGCTTGAGCATCAAAATCCTTGATTATATTGAACATTATAAATACACTGGGAATGTTAAGTAGAAAACTAAAGGTGTTCTTAGCCAACATAGTCAGCAAGTCATTGTTATAACTTGGTGTTCTGGCTGTGTGTGTATGTGTGTGTTTCATTCCTTATTGCTAAGTAAAATACCTTGCCCTAGCAACGGGCAGAGGACATTCACTGTACAGATCTGTCCAGCTCAACCTGCCCTTTGTGAGATTATGTGACCAAATAACATTGTTTGTTTTCATTTGATGCAGCATTGTAGTTATGACAGTGGTCATACAGTTATTTTATAGTATGTAATTGAAATACTAATAATAATAACTAGAAAATTCCTGAATAAATTTTGAATGTGCCTGCTGTTTGGTGTGTATCCATCACACAAATTTCAATCTCTACAGAGGACGTTACTTTGAGTTTCATTCATGTTGTAGAGAATTATCCTAACTCTGACCTCAGTCCCTGCAGGTATCCCACAAAAAGCTCTTTGAAACCATGAGGACTTGCCAAAGTGACCTCACAATGATGGTTTGGATCCTAAATTTGTCCCTACAAGAGTCTCAAGTCTTGTGACCCGTTTAACGTTTCAACTTTTTTTCTACGTTGAAGTATGACGCAGCAGTACAGCTCCAAAGAGGGGTGGGTTTAGTCGTTTTCATGACGTCTCCCAATTCATTCTCTATGGGAACTTTCTTCGCCTTTTATTGCCATTTAAGTCGCCATGGTTACTCGAATCGCTGAAAGTCATACCACACCATTCCCGAAGGAGCTGCACGTATTGACATAGCCTATACATTGTCTGGGCTTTCTCAAAGCTGTGGGACTAGTTATACCCCCAAATTTTGTTATGGAAGATGAATAAGTTGAACAAGTATGCAGGGTAGTAATATATAATAATACACTCTTTCTTCTGAGCTGAATCGGTATAAAATTCTTTTTTTTTACATTATTTTAATTTTGTAAACAGCTTCAATATTGTATTCAAAACTGGCTTTGAAATGTAGCTGTTTCATCCTTGTACGTGTGTGTGTGTGTGATTGAGAGCGTGTGAGAGAGAGAGAGAGAGAGAGCGAGAGCAGCCGTGTGTGCATGACTGAGCATGTGTGGGTGCAGAAATGATTTCCATGGGTTACCCCATTCTGCTCAGTCTCTATGTCATACTTAGCCTACATTTCAAAAAGTCAGTGAGATATCAGATAATTAAAATCTTGATAATCTTGTGCACATTTTTTTACAAATATTTTTACTCTAAAGTTATCTTTGTGTTGAACATGCAGAGAGAAGTTGTGCAGTATTCAAATAAGAAAGAGTAGAAATACAAAAAAGGTCCATTACAAGTAAATGTCCTGTGTTCAGAATCTTACCAACAAAATTTACAAAAGTGTCAAAAATAAAAGTACTTGTTGTGCAGCAGAATGGCCTCTGTCGGTGTCACATTATTATATGTTAGATTATTTAATTATCATTACTTACATGTAAGCATCATTTTAATGATGTAGATAGCTAAGGCAGCAATAGTTGTAACTACTTTACAGACTGCTCGGTAGTTTCATCTTGTACCACAAAAATAGAATTATTAATCATTAGTACTGAAGCACTGACATGTAAGCAGCATTTTACCTATAGCTTGTTAATGTTGAAATAATAAACTACTTTATAAGCTCTTGGGTAGATTCATATATCATCATATTTATATTCATACAATATTTCACAAGATATATTTTTCTATTATAATCTAAATGGGAAGAGTAAATAGAAACTGTAACTGTCAAATAAATGAAGTGAAAAGTGCAATATTTCCCTCTGTAATGTGGTGGAGTAGCCTACAATTATAAACTAGCATCATAAAATGGAACGTAGTTACTGCCTCGTAGGCTACTATCCCGCCACAGATATCATAATAGGCTGTAAGTTTTGTCTCTTTATATTTACAGCCTGCATGTACATATAAGCTACATTTTTCTCTTTTGGATCATCCAGTGGGCTTCGATTTGTCACCGTAGTAATCTTCTCATTGATTTACCCTTGGGAGGTGGATCCAGGCTCAACTTCTCGGGACTCACCTTATTATGCAGAGATTACAGAGTCGATTCACTTCCCGTAATACACGCCTCCTCCGTCGTGACGTACATCTTCCGAGTGTTCCCTCTCCTTATATGGTAGGGAAGGGCACCACTTTCCGGAATGATGTCATGCTGTCCCAAGTTTGAGATATCAGAGCAGGTTAAAAGCAGGTGTTCAGCGAAAGTAGAATTCCCGTTATAATTGAATACGTTAAATTAGGCTATATTAAATGATTTTCATAAGTGGTTTATCATATCATTATTAAAACAGGTTATTGAATTAGTCTAATCTAATTGCATTTGTTAATGAACTTATTGAGATAGGAAAACAGGCAAATTGTTAAATTAGCTGCATTGATGTGTTACACCATCCCACGAATAAGAAACAATATATAGAGAGAGGAAAAAACAAACCACAAAAAGAAAAGAAAAAAGAAAGGAAAACAACGAACAAGATGGTAAAATAATATAGCACCTAAAGCAGAATAGGCTGATGAAGAACTTCTGTTTCACACTTAGGCTCTGTGTAGGCTGTCATAGCCATACTAAAAGATTTGTCAAGTTTCCATAGTTAACAAACTGTTCTGTTTCTTTGCTTAAAATTATGACAAGTAGGTCTGTAGTAATGTAAGCACAAAGCAACAACTGATGACCCAATGTACGATGTAATGTTGATTTACAGAAAGCAATGTTGAGTCTCATCTGTCAGATAAGTAAGTCTATGTCGCCCTCTAGTGTTTCATTATAGGCAGTACATACTAGTGGCTGGGGAGTTTTGCAGTTATGTGCAATGTGTTTGCTCTATCTCAGTGGTTCTCAAACCTTTTCACATCAGGGACCTTAAACTGACACAAATTTGACCATAGACCCCCAGCTGATAAGATTTGGTCCATGGGTCCCCCATTTGATAAGAATTTTGCTCTTAGATGTTTTATTACAGAAGGTGATTGAAACTCATGACCACCAAGTCATACACTCTGTCACTGTGTTACTTAATTTATAATTTCACTAAAAATGCCATCCATATTAAATATTATTAAAATAAATGATTCCTCTTTTTGCTGGGGACTCCAAGGAAACGCCTCATGGACCCCTGCTCTATTCTGACCTGTCCACAGTCACCTGCTGTAATTACTGTCTGTACAGTAGGTTAAATTGGGCTTATTATATTTTCTGTAGGGTTTACTGGGGGTATTGAGTCAAAGTTTCCCTACTCTAAGTTGTGTAAAGCCGAAATCTGTTTTTTTCACTTCATAAATTTGAGGTTAACTATTGAAGAGAAAAATGTCTGCATTCTATCTCTAAAATGGTAAAACTTAAAATAATGGGCTGTGTTCTGAATAAACCTTTATCAAATTTAGGAAATAGTTATTTAGCTATAGTAGTTGCCTTGTGTGCACCCCTGTATTTGAAGACCTATCAGTGGTTTTGAGAAAGATAATGGGTTTCATTCTTTTGATTTTTGGTAGTGAGGCATACCCTTTTGTTTACATCTGGGTTATTGTTTCTTTAAAAAAATACTCTATATGTTCATAGGATACTTTGTATTCAGAATATCATCTCCCACAGAACCACAGTGGTAGTTTTGCTTTTTATTGAGATAATGTCTTATTGATAAAGTAGCCTTTGTCTGTTCATTTGTGATATAGGCCTAAGACTTTGAGTTTGTTTCGACAGTGGTTTCCCATGCTAGGGGTTTCTTTATTTACAATGTAACAGGAAGTAATGTTGAATAACTGAATGGTGCAATATTACAGAGGATGGCCTGTGATTTTCCTTCTATGTATCAAATCAGTGATACCTTATGTCCCATTTTATTGCCTTTATAACTTGACATTGTTAAAGAGTGTTACAATGTTATACTTCAGTTGAAGTTACTATTAACACCTGAGGAAAATGTGAAGTGTAATATGTAGCCTCTACTCTTCACATACACCTGTGTGCTGACATATAAAGAGGAGAAATGAAGCTATACATCCTAATTTGCAGAATTGGCCTCCATCAGTAAGAGAGCCTGGTCCGTCAGCTGCGACACAATCACTTAGCCTGGATCAATACTAGCACTAATGGAATTTACCTTGAGGTACTGGGAACTTGCAGCTTTTGCAACATGTTGCAACATGTTTTATTGTTTGAGCTCCTGACATGGCACACCCACTTTTTTTTTTTAATCTGTCACACACTTACAAGAACACAGAGGCAATGTTTCTTCATTTTATCTGGTTTATTTTCTTAAATATTGATTAGTTTCTGAAGTGCTCAGAAAACAAAACATAAAAAATTATACAGTATTCTTATTACAAATGGTAAACATAAGTACTCCAAGTTGATCTTATATACACATAACAATGAGTGAAACCCCATTAAACAACTTTAGAAAAAAACAAGTAAATCTTGAAGCTTTTCTAACTTAATTTCTTACAATTAAGAAAAAGTACATTGTACTGTAACTCAGAAGTCAGGCAGCTTTTGTTACAACTTTTCAGCCGTTTAGAGTCGGCCAACACGCCCATTTTTGAGGCCATTATGGCTACAGCAAGAAAAGTCTCTATTGCAGGTTCTTAAATCCTCTAATACTGAATTTCTCCTTTGATGGTCATGAGAAGACCCATGCAGAGCTGGGTGTAAATCAAGAAAACTTCAGTCCAGTCCAGTTCTGTAAAACAGCACGAAACAGAAACAGAAAGGTATCCTGCTTGTTGCCATGCCCCCTCTGGTTCATGGCTACTGTTACTGTCCTGAGCCCCTCTCTGGGACGCACCATCGGGGAGCGCGTGGCACTCAGGAACTTTAGTGCGGCTCCCGGTCCTGCCAGTGTCGCGCCACATCATCCCAAATGCCGTCACGATTTCGGGAGACACAACCACTCACTATCACAGGAAGCGTCCGTATCGGTCAACTACAGTCTTTTCTCTCTTCGCCGCCGCTGACAGCACCTCAGAAGGTCTGGAGCTGCTGCGTTAACATGAGCTGGCAGCCGCTGTTGACGTGGTTCATCACCTTCTGCTTCAGCTGGGCCACCTGCTCGCGCAGCATGTTGGCGGTGGACGCGAGCTCCGAGTTCTGGGACTTGAGGGTCTTCACTTTATCCTCCAGCCTCGAGATCCGCTCCAGCTTCCTCTTCCGGCACTTGGAGGCAGCGATGCGGTTCCTCATCCTCTTTCTCTCGGCCTTGATGCGCTCCTGGCTCTCCATGTCGATTGGGGAGAGAGGAGGGGTCTCCCCCGGCATCTCAGGCACGGTTTGGGGCTCCTCCTTGAGCGCCGTGAGCCGCGGGAGCTGGGCGGAGGAGGGCTGGCCGTAGATGGGAAGCTGAGGCGGGGCAGCGGGGAAGGACATAGTCGGGGCTGAGGTGGTGTAATTCGGAGCTGAGACTGTGCTGATGGCCGGGTTGAAAGTGTTCAAGTCCTCATAAACCGGTGAGTCAGCGCGCATGGTGGAGTTGGTGTTGTAAACGGTGGCACCGGCAACAGATGACACAGGCGGCAAGGCAGTGTTGACACTGGTCTGAGGGGCTGAGGTGACACTCACATTAGTTGGGGCAGGCATGTGCTGGTGGTGGAGTTCGGCCAGAGCTCGGACAAACCCCTCCGCGAAGCCCTCCTGCTCATCGGTGACATTCTTGGGGCACAGGAACTGGGTTGGGGTTGGCGTGGTGGTGATGAGCCCGTTGCTGGACTGGATGATGAGCCGCTCCAGTTCCGGGGAGGCCAGCTTCAGCAAACCCACATCGGGGGAGGTGAGGATGTCACTGGCTTTAGCCCGGAGGTGAGGTTTCAGAGTGCCCGTCGGGTCGGAGAGGTTCAGTGTCATGTTGTGTTTCAGCGTTTTGGGGTTGCTGTATCCGTAGCCGGCGTTATCGTGCTGGGAGAAAGCGTTGAGTGAGTCGTCATAGAAAGTAGTTTCCATCTTGGTATACATAGAAGAGAAACCAAAAACAAATGTAGCTATAAAGTCTTCTACAAAACAACTTTTCGTCCCCCCTTCTCTTCTTCCTGGTTTATCAGGTGAGTAAAAAACACTGGTTTCCAAACGTCCTCTCTGTGCGTAAAAACTTCCAAAACTCTGAGTACGCACTGTCTTGACACAGGAATCAGGACTTACTTCTTTCTGCCAGCGACGGTCGATTGTTGAGTGCTGAGTTGTAAAGAGTTCACAACGCTTTTGCCAAAGTATCCACTTGTATTGAGTGCTTGAATGAAAAGTGCCGAGTGGCTCTAACTTCTCTAGTCAGGCACCAGCAGTGTCTGTGGTGCCTCCTCTGCCTGGATGTGTATATACTCTGAGCTGTGCAGCGTGGAGGCAAACCTTATCTGCTGCGTCTCTAAAAATAACTATGATGTCATGACTGGGCTCTCCCATTGGCTGGAGGGCGTGTCGCGGGGCGGGCCCAGCCCTCAGATAAGGGCCCGGCCCCTTGCCTAGACGACCACCCAGAAGATTCTTAATCTCGCGGTGAATTGTGGGATGAGGTAATGCTGTAAGGAGCAGAGCGTAAGCGCGGTGCATTGTGGGATGACGTATTGTTTTTGAATATCTGGTTACCCGCTTTACTGTTCGTGGCGGGACAGCCTGTGTTCACAGCTCCTGTTGTGTTGGGAAAGAAATGTAACATACATTTATTTGTATGTTTTTTTTATTTATTTATTTATTTTTTTACTTATAATCATTACAAATTTTCTATTTTTTTAAAGTTGTTGTGCACACAGAATTTAGCCTAACCCTTGCAAGTCTGTTAAAGTATTGCTGAAACATCTCTAACCACCTATCAATTGATGAAATTACTTTAATTCTATTCTATTCTGTCATTCAAGTTTGTTAATGCTAATCTGGCTTCAATATGGCCATATTAGGATAAAATAGATTTTAAAAAAAGACTCACCTATTCTATTCTACTCTGTTCTATATTCTATTTATTAATGTTGTTTAAACCTTATCAAAAATGACCATAATATGATATGATAAATGAAAAAGCCCCTCAAAAATTATATTCTATTCTTTGCCAAATATCTACATTGCAGCTAAATGTGAGCTCTAGTTGAGCACAAAGGCAAACTTGAAGGAAGTGAATGAAAACCATTACATGAAAACAAATTCTATATTTTCCACATGGATGTGCACTCACGGTGGAAAGTCTTGTTTTTACTGTCATTTTACTTCTTGGTCTGGGATATCATGGTGGTCTCTGGTTGGTGGTCCCACATAAATTGCCTTATAGCACACATACACACATTTAGTTTTGACTGTACTGTGTATGAGAGTTAAAATTTGACACCTGGGCAGGTTAATACAAACACAGACATATTTACTGAGACATGCATTAAAGGTCTGCTATTTACCTGAAAAGCCGTGCCAAGTCCATCTCATTGAGTCATGTACTTTGGAAACAGTCTTTCCTTAAGATTTAAAACCATCTGAGTGTTAAGTCAGTCATTAAGGGGACAGATTTAATAGGGCCTTTTGCTTTTACTACAGTAAAGACCACACATCTGCAAAGCTACATTTAAGACCTTTTTATTATTGCTACAACTACAAATTGTTAAAGATAGATCTAGAGACTGTCTGTTCGTTCTCATAAAGAGCAAGTACATTTCCTATTATCCATGTCAGGGTGTGTAATTAGTGTAGTGCAGTCCATTGTCCCCTGGCCCTTGGTCAGAAATCACTGCTGGTTTAATGGCAGGAGGTTAACTGGTGTGTCTCACGTGTTCCCCTCTACTCCTCCACACTCCCACTGTCTGGGTCAACTTCTGCCCTGCCGGCTTTACTGCCCACTATCTCCAGCACACCACGTCTAAATATGTCCCCCTTGTGTGACAAGTAAATCAGTCCCTTGGCGCTGGCTGGCTCAGGAAGGCACCTAAGGAGGATGAACCAGATCATAAAAAATCACCACAGTCCGACTTTTTATGGCTGCTAATACTGTCTTTATCTACTGTTGTATATGTCAGACCGTGGCAATCAATAAAGTTGGATATAATCTGATCTAATTGGTTGACTTAACTGATCTTGTGCAGTTTCTTTTTTGATTTAAATGCTAGAGAGAACATTTCTACGCTTTATGGTCTTACACAAACTAAGGAAATGTGAAGATGAGTTTTATACAGTAAACTTATACTCTTATTCTTACAGTTCCTGTCAGTTGCATTAATATTTTTCTAGTTTTATAATAATCACTCTGGGGATGAAATGAGAGGAAGCAGAATAAGGACAAGTTGTTTAGTTGCTTGTTTACACTCAATGTTCCACTGGCACATTCTGAAATATTTATCCACTTTGCCTCATTCATCTATTTATGACTGCTTTTCTTCTGAATTAAAGCACATGAAAGAATCATAAGTAGGTGGTCTAGTGCCCACCACCTGACAGCAGGGATCCTCATGTATGACTTCACCCATTGTCCCAAATAGACGAATGAAGTTAAGGCAAAACACATGATGTCATTTAAAGTTATTATCTCATTTAAATTAAAGCTCTTTCAGAGTCAAATCCCATGGCAAAAGTCAGACCTTGGTGAATTCTGTTTTATATACTTTCAAATGGTGTTTCATACAGAACCCCCTAAATGTTTCAATATGGCTTGAGCGCTGCATGAGTTGGGTCTGCTTTTCTTCCCTGGTCGCCATGCGTAAAGTTATAAAGGGGTAACCACAGCATGGTAGTTTGCCAAAGTCATTTTCTGTGTGGGAATGTATGGGGAAATTAGCATGGAGGACTAACTGTGTAACTGACTATTCAAAATAGGGTTGGGTTATCCTGCTGTGACCTTGGTTCAGAGCCTGGACATTTGGTCACTTGTGGTCACACACAGTGGGCTACTTATTCAGTATTGTCCTTGCATGTTGTAGGACAGAGGCAGAGGCTTAGCAGGGGAGAAAGCAACTGGCAACTGTGGAGAGATGCTGCCAAAAAGTAGCTACATCCATCATATAGTAATTCAAATTATTGTACTCTAATGTATATTTTGTAGGTATTTGTCTCGTATAACTGATTTACAGATTCTAAGCCAGCAGACCATATTTCATATTTCTGATAAAGCTGATTCACTGCCACCATTAGTGGATCTAACAAGTGACTAGGTGTCCTTATTTAAGTACTGGCTTTCAGGACTTTTGGATGTAAAGATTCAGTATTGGAACAAACTACAGCAGGATAGAAGCAGTAATAGTAATTTACTACTTTCAATCAATGGAGAATCCAGAATCAGTAAAAATGAAATGAGTGATATGATATGAGTGCGGATGTAGCCTAAGAGTCTACAGCCATGCTAAGCATCTCTGTGAGGCATAGCAGTAGTTTGTGCTAAATGCTAACATCAATGTGCTAACATGCTCTCAATGACAATACTGACATGCTGACGTTAAACGAGTATAATGTTAACCAAGTTTACCATCTCTGTTTGGCATGTTAGCATCCTAACATTTGATAATTAGAACAAAACAAAGTACAGCTGAGGCCGATGAGAATTTTGAAGGTGTGTCGTCACAAACCAAAGCAATGAACAAGTTCAAATTTTCACCTGACGATGGCGCTCATGAAACAGTCTGACAATCACCAAAGTCGTTAGGATTCATCCTCTGGGGACCATGAATGTCTGTACAACATTTCACAGCATTTCCAAGGCACTTCATGTTAATTGCAGCCTGAACAGACTAAACAGACTGCAAAAAGTGAAATTTTCATAGAAACGTTTAATCCAGTAAATAAATAAATATCTGTCATGTAAAGCTGTCAGGTGTGTACATGTGTAGCTATGCATTGATTTTGCTAACTCACTTACAGTCTTGACTTTCTAGTAGCAATTTTTGATACACATTTAAAACATCTTTTCTTACCATGCAAGTGGCGATGACTCAACTTTTCACGTCTTTTTCACTGTTTTTGTATTTTCTTTCCAGGACTTTAAATAAACACACTCTTTCAAACAAACACACATTTTTAAAGTAATGTGTTCTTGCTCAGCTGTATCCTGACCTGAGGTAATACAAATGGGCCTTCCTCTGAGTTGTCTAGTCTTTAGCCTTTCCTCCCACCAACCCCTGCTTCATGATGAACTTTTCTATCAATCCCCCACCTCCCCCCATCGTCCCTGACCTTCACTCCCTACATCCTGATGTTACCTCTCCAATATTTTCCCCTCTGGATGGCATCCCAAATGTCCTCCACTTACACTTTTGCCATTCTCTTATCTCTCTCCTCCTCCTCCGTTCTCTCTCTCACTCATCCCTCTCCATCTCATCTTACTCCTATCAGTGTCCGTCCAGGCAGCAGGATTTCCCCTGTGATGGAAACAGGCTGTGGCTCAATTGTATTGTTTTAGCAGTTCTTTTCAGTAAAATCTCAGAGTGCTCTCTGTTTTTATATTGGTCTCGTTAAAAGTAAAAGAAGTACACTGACCAAAGCATTGCACAATACAAAGGACAAGCACAAGTGTGAAGCCATTGTTACATAAAAAAAAAAAACTTTGGTCTTTACGTCAAACTGAACATCCCTTGTGGTTTGCATGGTGAATGAGAGACAGGGAGACAGACTGTCGAAGCTTTTGAGACAGTGCACTCTCACAATGGTCTTAGCCTGTGAGAACAATTGTTGTTTCAGCTGTTACGTGAAGGAAAAAAAAGTGCCTGACGGTGTAGATTGTGTGTTGGACTGGCCTGGAAGCAAGCACAGGCCAGTCATTTGGCTGTGTATGCGTGTACACGTTTGGGTCTGCCTTTACTGTAAATGCAAGAATTTGTAAATGTATTTGTCAGTGTGTTAGGACACAAAGCAGGTAGTGTCACTGCACCGACATATAGAGGAATATTCAGAGGGTGTACAAGCAAAAATTCTGGAGGAGCTCAACGAATTTGATGAAACAAATATGAATTGACTAATAATATTCAAATCTTGTGTCAGGCGTAACACTTGAACACCAAGTGTTGCAGTTAAGAGTATCTGAAAACTAGAGACTAGTGATGGGATCACACAACATGTTTATAACCCTAACCCATGACCACTCAATAGTCACTACTACATTATTACATGTATACTCAGTAGTTATTGGTACATTATTACAGCAGAACTCAGCACTCATGGGTGGGTCCACACCCATCTTTGAATTCAACCTTCATTTTGATGTCAGCTACACACCTGTAAAGTTTCATGACCTTCACAATTGTGGTGTTATTGTGGTTACAAAATGCACCCACAGACAGACAACACACATTCAGACAGACAAGTAGGCTTACTCAAAACCACCTCTGTGGTAGTTCCGGCAACAGTAAGTATCTCCGGCACCA